GCTGCCACGCTCGGCTAATGTTTTTTGCATTTTTAGTAGAGACGGGGTTTCACTGTGTTAGCCAGGATGGTCTCAATCTCCTGACCTTGTGATCCGCCTGCCTCGGCCTCCCAAAGTGCTGGGATTACAGGCGTGAGTCACCGCGCCCGGCCATTGGAGAGATTTTATTGGCTCAATAATTAATACTACATCACACATCTACTTTCCTCTGTGCCTTCTGTCCCTGTGGCCTTTTACAGACAAAGCTTTTGCTATAACCATGGAGCACACAATAGCACAAACTATAAAATATAAGAAAGTATAACACCTGCCTTACAGGGATGTTGTGAGGACCTAATCAGACAATGCATGAAAAGTACTCAGTACAGTGCCTGGCCCAGATTAAGTATTCATAAATGTCAACTATAATTATTATTCTTTTTATATAAATTTTTATTTCATAGGGAGATGGTTCCTAAAGAAATCTCCTACTCATCTTGCTTGTACACCCTAAACGTTTAAAATAATTTCACTGTATCCAATACCTCTGACCCCTCTCAATCCCATCACATTTTCACTGCTTAGTTCATGGTTCCTATCTCTTTCTCACTGTGTACCACCGAGCTGGTACACACTGGAATTCCTCTAGTAGGCCTTTAGTTTCCATAAAGCAGAAACCCTGTACCATGTACCATTGCATGCTCAGTAGAATGTGGTTTATATCTTGGGGTGTAGGCTTTTAATAAGTATTTATTGAATGGATACATGAAGATATGAGTGAATAATGGAATAAATCCTGGGGTCCAACAGGCACCTAACCCTACAATATTTCTAATCTTTTGTCAACTTCCCCTAAGATATTATTTTATTTATTTATTGTTTAGAGATGAGGTCTTGCTCTGTTGCCCAGGCTGGAGTGCAGTGGTGCAATCATAGATCACTGCAGCCTTGAACTGCTGGGCTCAAGTGATTCTCCCACCTCAGTTTTCCCAGTAGCTGGGACTACAGGTGTGTGCCACCATGCTAACTACTTAAAAAAAAAATTTTTTTTTTGAGACAGGGTCTCACTATGTCACCCAGGCTGGTCTTTAACTTCTGACCTTAGGCAATCCTCCTGCCTCAGCCTCCCAAGTCACTGGGATTACAGGCCCAAGCCACCACACTAAGCCCAATCAATAATAATTTCCAACCCATGGCTTTTAATGGAAAGCAGAATAAGAAAGTCTTTCTTGATGTCTACTTCAACAAGTAGAGAGAGGGAGTTACAACTTTCTTTCTTTTTTTTTTTTCTTTTTTTTTTTTAGACGGAGTCTCTCACTCTGTTGCCCAGGCTGGAGTGCAGTGGCGCGATCTCGGCTCACTGCAAGCTCTGCCTCCCGGGTTCAAGTGATTCTCCTGCCTCAGCCTCCCAAGTAGCTGGGACTACAGGTGCATGCCACCATACCTGGCTAATTTTGTGTATTTTTAGTACAGATGGGGTTTCGCCATGTTAGCCAGGATGGTCTCGATCTCCCGACCTTGTGATGGGCCTGCCTCGGCCTCCTAAAGTGCTGGGACTACAGGCGTGAGCCACTACGCCTGGCCACAACTTTTTTTTTTAATGGTCTATTCTGTTTCTCAGCTTATGAACACTGTATCTCACTCCCAGACAACTGATGACATTCATGCTTGAAGAAGAAATCCATGACCAGGTACCAAAGAAGGCTAATTATAAAGGCAGTTTTCTACCTGCCACTACCCTAGTTCATCCTTGAAGATTTAGTTCAAAAGTCAACTTCTCAAAAGCCCTACATATTATTCCACCCTGAACCTCAGAGCTCTTGAGGTTAAAAACTATGTGAAGGAATGGATGAGTAAATGAATGAATGAAGGGAAGGCGTGTTGTTTGAGACAGGGTGATTAATGGGAGCATGGTCCCAACACTCTGGTGTAGCCAAAGATTGAGAAGTGAACACTGCTGTAGAGCTACAAAAAGATATTTGGCACATAATAGGTGCTTAAAATGTTCATTAAATGAAAGAATTAACGCATAACCCTTTCTACTGAATGTTTGTGTCTAGAAGATGCACTGTCTCAAACTATTCCCATTATAAAAGTAAATATTGTTCCTGTGTACCATTAGTCCCTTCCTCTAGACTATTAATCCCTGGCTCCTGGCAAAAACTCCTTGCATTTGTACAGAAATGGAATCGTTTTTTGGCCATATTAAGTGATACTTCTTTCCTTAAGCACATCAACTCCCTCTGTGGCTTTCAGGAATGCTTAGCCTTTGGAATAAAGTAAAAAGTACAGAAATCCACTGGAATACGTGGCCTGGCATATGTCAAATCAAAGAAGAAATAGAGAAGCAGGGAGCATTCATGAGATCTGAACAGTGTGACCATGCAATACTCCCAACACTAATAATTGTAGGTGTTAATGGTAACAATTTGTTATAAATGATACAACATATTTCTATTTGTTCCTTAGCTTTCAAGCATTCGCTTGATGTCATGGTCTGAAATTTGGCCAAGGTGTTCCTATTTTCAGGCCTTGATATGCCCACAGATGCTTCCCTGGTTATCCTTCATTGAACCAACTCCTCCACTTACTAGCTGTGTGACTTTGTACAAGTAAGGTAACCACCCACCCTAAGCCCCAATTTCCTTTTCTGTTGAATAAGGGTAATAATGGTACATATGTCTTACAACTGTCATGAGCTTTTTGTATTGTTTTCTTCTTTGAGATGGATTCTTGCTATGTTGCCCAGGCTAGGCTCACACTCTGGGGCTCAAGGGATCCTCCTGCCTCAGTCACCTGAGTAGCTGGGAGTACAGGTGCGTGACACTGCACAGGGCTTCCCATGAGCTTTTGATGAGCTGCTGCATGTAAATATTTTAGCACAGTGCTTGGCACATAATACATGTTCAATAAATGTTATCTATTCCAATCATTATTGTAATTAATAGCCAATCCTATTCTTATGATAGTTCTATCACTATCTACTCATTTGCCTGGTAATCATATAGTCTTTGTATTTTATAAATATACACACTAATATATTTTATAAATCTTTTTATAATATTTCAAATAATTTAAAACGTCCAAATGGCTGTTTTCTTGTGATACACCCATGAAGTGCTTTCCGCAGTGGGTATGGCAGTGGGCAAAGGAAAAGGCCTGGCCCTGGGCAGTGCTATTTTCAGAGTGTGTGAGGGCCAGGCTGCACTGCATCTCATATTTCCCCTTGAAGAAATCAGCCAACGTAACAAGCAAAGGTGCCGGGGAGGCCTTGAGGGTACCAGTGTACAGGGGACACTGCTACATGTGCACGCTGAGTGGCTGCCCGGGTCTGCCTTTGGGTACTAGGGGAATGTGTGGTGAGGTTGGAGGGGACAGAGCTGGCAATGTGTGAGAAGGACTCTCAGGGCTGCTGCCATCATTTGGCAGAGTCCGTCCTTCTACTCCAATCCAATCTCACTCTCAGGGAGGGGATGGATGAAGACTGCTCATCCTATTATCTACAGGGTTTTTAAAGAGTGGATCCTCATTCTCTGGCCTGGGTAGCCATGATCAGAGGGCATTTTGCTCTGGTGCACAGATACAAAGACTGGGGATGGGGAGGACAGTAATCTTTCATACAAGGACACATACACCACCACATTGGTGCCTTGGAGAATACAGCCAACGAATACTGTGCTGCAGCATAAGTGATCGAAAGTCACACACTAATGCAAATTATGTAAATCCTCGCTAAATGACATGAATAGAATGGAGATCACCATAGCACCACTGTTCTCCATAATGTGAGCTGCAGTGTTCTATGCTGTATTTTACTTCCCCGGTATGAAGGCAGCTAGAGAGATGGTGGGACGACTTTCACTGTCTCTGGGGACTTTCAAACAAATTAGCGACCTTGTGAACAGTCCCAGGATGCCAGCTTCCTAAATAAACATTAAAATGCATTTACTGTCTGTATCACTTAAGAGGTTGAGAATGGAGGGGGGAGCATAACTGCAAACATTTGCGGGTTTTAATTTAACAATAGCTTAGCTATTAGACAATATAGAGTATGAGAAAGACTGTCTTAGAAGACTGAAGAAGTGAAGCTCGTGTTCTGAGTATGTCTACACAGCCTGCATAGAGGCAGATGTATATAAATGATCATGTTACTCTGTCTAAAATGGATAAAACTCGGAATAAAACAATCCACATTTAGTAGTACCCTGAAGCTGACTCTAATTTGTATTCACTGTGACAAGTTCTTACTCTCAAATCTGAAGTAATTATTAGAAAGTGAGAAAACAGACATTACTTTTGGGAAGCTGGGAGATGGCTTTATATTCTAAGTTGCCACTAGATAGAATGGCCCATAACAATGACTTGGAAGGCTATTACCTTATAACCGGAACCTATAAAATCTAACAGTTACAGATTCTCTCTCTCTCTCGCTCTCTCTCTCTCTCGTGTGATTTTAATTAAAGATTTAAACTGCTAAAAGACAAAACTGAAAACATGTACGTAATCCAATTTTGCATAATGCCTCTGCAGTTTCGCAGTTGATTTTCCCCATCTGACCCTGACTTCCATATGATATACACACATTTACTGGTTTATGGTAGGAAAACTGCTCTGGCTGCGTACTGGCACTCGCCTTTGTGATTCAGGCATGAAACCATGAGGCACCCGGCTGGAATTCAGAAGAAGTACATTAGGACAGAGGGGCAGCTTTGTATTTATTTATTAGGTTCTTCCAACTTAAGTTGCCAGGGTAGCGTGAGCTTTTTAAAAACAGTTGCTTCTGGCCTTCCTGTTTTAGGCTTTTATCTAATAGAGTGTGAGAAGACATGAGTTCACATACAGCTACGGGTGAGATTATTCAAACTGAAACTAACCCCACATATCAAACCGTGGTGTCATTTTCGTCACTTTAACAGTAGAAAGGACACAGGAAAAAAAAAAGAATGAAATCATTTACTGAACTAACAGTTACATTTGTCCCCTCCTGCCTTGGATAAATAATGACTAATTTTTAAATAACGGCTTGGTACGGCTCTGAGATTAGGAGATAGACAGCATGGAAAGGTGTTCAGACCTTTTAGGTTTGGTGCTTTCCTGTTCCTCTGAGTGAGCATTTTTCAAAACTATTTTGAATGTAAAAGGCTGTAGAGTTCAACACTGGGCTTCCTCCTACTTTATGAGGTTATACACAGGTTCAAGGGTGAGGGTAAAGACAAGCAGGTGCAGAGTTTCACATGAGTGGGTGGTAGGGGGCGTGAGTGTGCACACATACATATTTGTGGGAGATGAGTGTGCATGCAAATAGGTGTGCAGAAGTGAGTGCACACAAATGCACGCGTGTGGGTGAGTGTGCATACAAGTACATGTGTAGGGGGTGTATATTCATACACATGTGCAGGCGTGAGTGTGCACACAGTGTGCAGGGGCCATGATTGTGCATGCATATGTACACTGCAGGTGCAATATGGAAAAAACATGGAATACAATATAGTTTAGCCATGATTGGCAGCCAAGATTGACCTTTAAGCCCATTTCATGGTCACTGCATATGCGTTTTTTATTATATGCCAATCCCAGGACTTGGTGCAAAGCCAGTAAGAAGTAAGACCTTCATTTTCTGAAGTATATAAGCGTTTGTTTGTTTGTTTGTTTGTCTCTGTGCTAAGAAGAATGGCCATATCATATTCCTCTTTATTCCAAGTTGGAGCAGAACAGCCTTAGGTTGCTGCCAACTATTATCCTTCGAGAGGGCCACACATTTTGAGGTTTCAGAGATGGTGAGGTAGACTCTACCTTGAGAAATATCAGACACTCAAGTACTCTGGCGATACACTGAGCAAATGTTTCTGCCAGCAGAAAGATACAGGTGGGTTCACGGTGGCGCAGGTGAGGGAGAGGAAGCTGTGCACAGTACGCGCACTTTCTTTTCTCCAGCCATTCTGGTACCACAACAGTTCCCGTTCTTTCTCCTCTTCTGTAATTTCTAAGACCTTTGCCTTAAGTGAATGGATCCTCTGCAGACAACCATAACTGCATCTATTTACGTCCCTGCTCTTTGACTTGAAAAGTTCACCCTTTCTCGGAGAGAGACTTGGAAAAGAGAGGTGTGAAGGGTCTCAAGTCCTGGCAATTCTGCCTCAGTGAATCCAATTTCTGCCTCCACAGTGAAATCTCCCTAGCTAGTTGAGAGGCAGCAGTATTAATTGTTCCTGCCTAAGAGTTGTCAAGCAAATCAACCTGAGAACTGGAATCCACCCAAGACACACCTATGCCTCTTACAATAAAGACTCAATGAAGCAACCTGCCCTTCACAACAGCCTCCTCAAGTGGGGAAAATACTACAAATAATGGACACATGACAACCAGGAACTCCTTCACCCACAGAGAGATGTTTCTTTGATCTACCTTATCTCTGCCATCTATGTTTTCCTAACCCGGGCCAGTGTGGTCCAATTTCAGTTCTTTCATATTTTCACAAGTCAGAGGGAAACCAGGAATCTTAAAGGTTTACTACTGAAAAGCACTTTATTTTCAGTAAGGTGCTTTAAAAAATAGAATTGTCATATCTGGACTGATTCAGGTAAGAAATTCCAGAAAGGGAACTCTAGAATGCATTTTGCATAAAGGGATAATGAGTGGAATAAAGCGCCAGGGGTAGGAGGAGTCTTTATAATCACATGCCTATCTCTGAATATGTTTCACTTGTTAGCCATCAGGTCTGAAAATTGTAGTGCTGGCTCTGTTCGGTTATTGTTCAAGTGTGATCTCAACGGCCCTGAAATTCTTCTTTGTCTTTTTGCATCAGGCTATTTTTCATGATTTCACTTTGTTCCCATCCTCACAGCCTACTACTAAGCAAGATCTCATGATATAAATGAAGGTTATCTTCTTTTCCTTCCAGTCACTGCTCTATACAGAAATCTCCTAAATAATTGAGATGCTGCCACCAATCGGTCAAACAACCAACCCCCCTGAACTGGGTCCTTGTGATGTTCCAGCGATTTAATTACAAGGAATGCTAGCTCCTAACATGTCAGATACCACGGGCTCGAAGACTTGTAACAAGTGATATTAGGGGCAGCAATGGTTTCCTCTACTGTTCTGGGATTCGGGGTTTTAGGGGCTCTCTTTACAGATGAGAGAATTTTGCAGCTTCTT